TAATAGTGTTTTGTCTTAATCAAATAAAATTAGAGATTCCAGACACATGGTACGAAAGGCTGTGGCAAGCGTTAGATCTGTTTCAGTATGCAAAAAAAGTTAAATTGAAAGAACACTAATTTTCTAAATGTCCGTAACCCAATTAGTAAACAGTAATTCTGATCTATTTAGCAGGCATGACAGCGACTGCAAATGTTGTTAATTCTTATCTCAAATGTACGTTGGATTTCAGTGAAGGATAAGTAAATTTTCTTTAGATTTAAACATCTAGCAGTTAAATGATTAAAAAATATAAATATGGTTGCTATTTCTTCTTTCAAATGTTTAATACTTGTAAAGGTATTCATTTGGCATTATGAGTTGCCTGCAATACGAAGAGATGGCGCTGCCTTGCAGCCTATAATATACATATAAAAACTAGAGAAAATTCGACACGGACTATTAGGGCCGCGAGGATAGCGGAGGGTGCGGGTTCGAGTCCCGTCTGCTGCCTGGTCCATGTGGATTTTTTCTAGTCAAATTTTCTTTACATTTAAACATCTAGCAGTTATAACTAGGATAAGTATTTCTGTTTGCGTTTTCTTCACACGTGGCATAAACAGAATAGAAATTAATTTATGTTTGACATAGATCAATGGTGTCACTTTCTTTGCCATAGCATTAGAATAAGGCAACAAGCTCCTTTGACAAGTATTAAATTAAATTTACGTCCCTGAGAAGTAAGTGTACAGCTGACGTAAAGTTGTACTTGATTTCAGTAACTTCTGCTATATACTTAACACTACGATATAAAAAATTTATTATACTGAAATACAAGTAAAATTCATTTTTTTGCCACTTAAAAAGGCACTTAAAAAAGGTCGTTTGATTCATCAATAACGGACGATCCATTATCCTGACGGAGTAAATAAAACACGTTTTTGACTAGAACAACAAGAATTACGTACAGTAAATAAATAAAGTGTTGGAAGTATCCACGGGCTGGGAGTTATACACTCAAATACATACAATATACTAATCCGTATGCGATACAAATAAAAAATGCCAAACCTATTTTATTTCTTTCCCTTGTATATCAGCAGTGCTATCTTCTTTTCTATATCATGAGTTTGTATTATATTTAAAATAAATAAATACATAATATATTCAAAACTCATACACTGCCTAGCCTCAAGGTATTGTGGGCGATGTGATACTTAGGGTAACATAATAGGCGACATCTTCAAACCAGGTGGCTAGGTCCACCTGGTTTGAAGATGTCACTTTACCACAAAGCTCGTAAAATTTCCTATAACAAGAAGGTCGAAGATAATCGATTGCCGCCAGGTTAAATACTGTAACTATTTATTTTCTTTTAGTCCAAAGGAAAAAGTGAAGTGGACTCGTGAAAAAATATATCATATCGTTATCGTTGTAAATAATTACTGTATTTTATTCGTTTAGTTTTAAAGAATTTTGCCTTCTTGCAGTTTATTCTTAAGTTCCAGTAATACGGTCCTAACAATGTTTTTTTTTCACGAACCAGGGTTCTAATTGTCTAAGTTAAACGATTCCCTTGTCAATGTCCCCGTTCCAAAGTTACAAGCTAATCCCTTTCCCAACTATGAAGTGAAATGGATCACTTATCAAGTAAAAGTTGAACAAACAGAACCCTGTTATTACCATAAACTTATTAAAGGACACGTAGGAATATAACAAAGTGCCATTGAATTTTTGCAGGTATTAATTAATGTGTCGAAGAAGTGAGAAGGGTGTGTTTGGATTGGGGATTAATTATCACTGCCTATGCTTCTGGCATACAGGTGAATTTTAATTTATATATTTTTACTAGCCGTCACCGTTGATTTCATCCGCGTTTAATTCAGTTTTTTGGGAATCCCTCAGGAACCTTTTCTTTTTTCGGGATAATAACTTATCCTATGTCTAATACAGGTAATAAGCTATAATGATGTGTGTAAAATGTAATCCTTATTTGTTCAGCTGTTTTTGCGTCATTGAGTAACAAACATACAAACTTTCACAATTCAAAGGTGTAGTGGTGTAGGTAATTTCCCATACAACCCACAAAATGTAAATGGAGTATACAGTTGCGAAGAAAGATGATGAAGAAGGAAGAATAAACAATAGATTGTTAACTGAGGAGCATAGAACTATTTTAAAGCTTTTCTTCATTTCTTTGTCTGTACAAAATACATTATTAGTTTCATCTATGCAGTAGTTGTATTTTACCAATTAGGTAGATAAAATATCATTAAAAAAAATTGAAAACACCTATCCTTTAATGACTATATTAAAACGGCTGCTTTTTCATAGTATGTTCGAAATGGCTACAATCATAAATTGTTAAAAAAAAACACATTTTTAGAACTGAATTTTCTACTAAATATTGAAGAAATAATTGCCATCGCCATAAAAAAATAATAAAAAAGATTTCGTGTTCAGTATTTTATTTATAAATTTATTTTTATTTTAGTGTAAATGCAAGAGGGTCCATTATTATGGGAGGGCCAACATTAATACAGACTCCCCTACGTCGCTCGAGTTTTAATATATAGTGTTGCTCCCTAAGGTAGACACTACGTTTTATACCCTCTATGAGAAAATAAGAACTTGCAACTAATATCTTTTGCGTCCGATACGATGTTCACGGGAATTACTATCATTCTCACTACTTGAGGAAAACACAATATTTTTATAAAACTCAATAAAATCAGAATTTGTATAAACAATTATGAACGAAGGCGGTATAGTATTTCACGCGTTTTAACCGACTTTAAAAAGGAGGATTTTCTCAATTCGGCCGGTATGTTTTTTTCATGTATGTACACCGTTTACTCTGTGGGATTCCTGATCCAATTTACGTGATTCTTTCTGTCCGATGCGGAATAATTGCCATTTGGTTCTATAAACATTTAATTTAGTAAGGCCCAGTTGTTTTTATTCTATGATCATTTTTGTGAACTTGGACGACGTAATTTTCACGATAATTGTTTATTCAGGGTTACAGGAAAAGTCGACGTAGATATTTAAGGGAATTATTATTTAGGTAATTGCGGATAGATTGGACTGTCGAAAAGTAATCCGTTTAAAAAATAGCTTTGATTTTTTTTTCTTAAAAGTTCTATTTTTTGCTCTAATTTTGTTTATTATTATGGACTGACATGTAAAAAGGTATAATAATTAGGAAAACAATTACACTGGAAAAGCTGTTATCTGGTTAAAGTGGTTGCTAATTAAATGTTTGAATGTAGATTTTTCAATCTTTCCAACTTTCTCTTTGGTTTATTAAAAAAAAAGTATAGAACTTAACCTGATAGTTATAATAATGACTTACAAAAATAATAAAATTATAAGTAAGGTAAGCAAATCAATGCTGAAATTAAGAAGAAGAAGTCTCAGACCATAAATTGTAAATGTTAAAAAGAAAACAGATATAAGAATGACATTTTATGAAATAGACGACCTCCGTGGCCGAGTGGTATATACACCGCCTATTCGAGAGGTCCCGGATTTGAATCCCGGTGAGGCCAAATTTTAGTATGATAAAAAAAAAAAATTGTACCTGAGTCATGGATGCATGTATTGCTATATATATGCTTCCTTTGGGGCTAGGCTTATTGGCGTGAGTGTTGAAAATATTTATTTTATTTTATTTATATTATGGAATAAAAAAGTATGTTTTTTTTTTCATTAATGCAATTCATTGCCTACGTGACTGCCTCTATTTCTTACACAAATTCTCATTCCTCTTTGTAATCCACTTTTCACGGCTCCAGTTGTAAGATGCCGCCTTATTTCATTAGCCGCATCAATTATTTTCTGTTTCTAAATTGCTACATTTTCAATTAGATTAGGTATTTTGTATACAAAGCTTTTCATGAGACCTCGTACATAAAAATCCATCGGCGTCAAATCAGGGTTCCTTGTTGGCTATGTTATGGGACCACCTCTACTAATGCATTTATTTGGATAGTTTTCGTCTAGCCATACACAAACACTTCTTTGGTAGACAGCCATCGTGTTGAAACCACATGTTTCGTCTCAATCGAAGAGGTAAGTTTCCCATTCACAATGTACTAAAAACTAATACCGCCATAACCCATCCGATATTATCGACCGCACCTAATGGGGGGAAGCCTTTAGGTTTTTTCTTCCGACAGACGATCCAGTCCGAGCGTTATATACGCTATGCCCTATTATGAATTAAATATAATTGTAATTCTCTTTTGTGTTAGTTTTGACTTGAGTGCGAAAACAAGAACATATCTGGCGAAAACGGACGGGCTGCTACTCGACGGAAACGAAGGTAATAAGCAGATAGTTGAAATTTCCACAAAATTTACGTGCTCGCAAACGAAGAACACCGATCTCACTGTATTGAATTTTCAACATATTCTATTTTAAATTCAAAGAAAATTTGTGCTACCAAAAATCCTACACCTAATGGCGCGATTACATTTGGTTGTTAGCCCGAATACCAGTGCTAATGAAATTCGGGTAAACGACTAAATGAACGGAGTCGAGTACGCCGTTATTCGGGTAGTTTTCGTTTGGTTACCCGACACCCGTCTCAGCCAGTATTACAGCGTAAATAATGCTTTGGGTGCCCGAATTGGAGTAATGTCTTTCGTGCACCCGAATACGGGCGAAGTTTTCCTTATATGAAAATCAAGCAGTTAAATGTTTAATTAAAAAACATCATAAAACTATTTATTTATTTTAGTTGAATATTTTACATTCTGTTACAAAAAAAAAATATTTAAGAGAAACAGGAACGATATTAAAACCCCATACAGACGGACTGACCTATTGACGGACAGGATCAAAAGGAGATTATAGGATTCGCTTGTTTACCGATGGGTACAGAATCGTACGACTTCTTCAGACAAGTAATAGATATAAGTCTTAGTTTTAGATTACGAAGTCTTCGTTCTTGTAACTCTGCAATAAACAAGGTAGATCGTAATCTGATTCAATGTTTCAATACTTGAATACTTATCGGGATTTTATCAATAGTCAGTGGAAACTCCGAATAAAAGTGCGTTATCCATCCTTCAGTTATCACGCTCCGTATCAATAGGGTTCAGTACCAAATGAGACGTTAAGGAGAGCGCATGTCTGCTTTCGCTCCTTGGTTCTCTTCGGGACGTTAAAACTTGCCTTTTCGCGTTACGAAATATTGAGTGAGTTCGATGTGTAAGTTGTGAATTAAAACTGTACGGATTGATGAGATTTCTTTAACAGGTGAGTCATAAATAACATGGACGACTATATCTACGTTTCGATAATATTGCAAAATCATGATAACCTAACATGTTTTTGTTTTGAAACAAGAACAAAGCGTCATTATTTTGAGGAGTTTGTTTATTTGCTTTTGTTTGTTGTTTAGGTTTATTCAAGGGAAATTTGAAATATGTTTACGAATGAACTTTAGAATTAAGTTCTCTGTCTGTTTAAAACTAAGTTAGGAATTCGTTTCTTGTTATTCTTGTTTTACTGTATATTATTGATATTTTCTAATAGAATAGTTTAGTTATTCTCAAATGTATAATATTGTGTAATGCAAGAAGATCATAACGCATATTAAAAAAAAATGGTTCAAAATTCAAACTTCCGTGTACTCTTAAAACGCGCGCGAAAATTTATGAAACAAGTAACTGTTTTCATCTGAAATTTTAGTGACTAAAAGTATTTAATTTTTTTTGTTTATGAAATAACAAACTTAGCCGGTGGTTTTGCTTGCATCTGTAGTCGTTAGCACCCATCAATACGAACTACACCCATGATCCATTCTTCCTATTCCAAACGCAGGGAAGGCCTCTGCTCCTAATGCATTAGGACATTGTCCAACTAACGATAATGAATACATATTCAATGAAATACATTAACATATAATACGACGAGAAAAGTTTTGGAACATACTTTTTATTATTAGGTTTTATATTTTAAGCATTAAATTGCTATATGTTTAAACCTAAAGAAAAAGTAAATAGAAAAAATACACTTGGTCCAGGTTTCAGACGAGATTCGAATCCGCATCTTCTGCTATCAGGGCGAAAGAAGAAAGTGAATTAGTTTTTATTTTTATCAATTTTGGGGATACGCTAAAGCGTGATGACAAAGACGCGATAAAACATTGACCATGGCTACTAAATCGTTAATAACAAGTAGGAAGCTACGTTATTCTTTAGTCACATTATTTATATTTTTTGGCTTTAAAATGAATTTGACCCTTGCAAAGCTGGGGCTTCTTAGGTAGTATGTTATATGAGTAAGTATTTATCAGAGCGACAACCAGAGAATTTTTGATGTGTAACATCTTTCCTCTCGCTTTCCTGCAATTTGTGGGAGTGATTTCGTAAAATGGGATAGAAGTGTGTAACAGGAAGTCGCGAAAGCGCGCGCTATTTGATTTGATTTCAAATGGCTTATTCCTTTTGTAGTAGGTTTTATATCTTTTTTTACTAATATAAGGTGAGGTTTCAAATGTTACACATCATACGCGACTATTGTAAGGCTCGCTAGTTTTTTTTATAAGTCACAAGATGACCCAGTGAAGTTCGTGTACCGCCATAAAAAATGTGGTAGAAGGGTGAAAATTTTGGGTTTTATATATTTTTATTGTCGAATCATAAAACAATTAAAATAAAAAATGGTGTGACAAAAATTTAAAATCATGTTTTTTGGGTTCACTACCCTCATCCTTTAGGAGTATGAAAAGTAGTTAACGTCCTATTCTCAGATCAATTAAATATATACACAAAATTTCAAAAGAATTAAAAAAAACTAGTTTTAACGAGTTAGAAGTACTGAATTAATTTTTAATAGAAAAATCATTATTTTGACGACGCATTCCTGTAAAGGATGCGAAACGTCAATAAATAAACAAATTCAGTACATCTAACCCGTTATAACTAGTTTTATTTAATGAGTGATCTGCGTGAAAACCTAAGAAACAAATATTCATAAGAATTGATCAAGCCGTTTCGGGGTTTTGTTACAAACACTATGATACGAGATTTTATTTTTTCGATTAGTTGACCGAGCGAACTTTGTACCACCATAAAAATAGGTTGGTAGTAGAAGGGTGAACATTTTTGGATTGAATGTAATTTTTAATGCATTATTATAAAAAAAAATCACTAAATAAAAATAAAATTTTGGACTGGACCACCCTTATCACTTAAGGGTATGAAAAATTGTTAACGTCCTATTCTCAGAACTACTCAATATACACACAAAATTTCATAGGGATCGGTCAAGTCTTTTCGAAGAGTTTTGTTACAAACACTGTAACACGAGCATTTTATATTTTATAAGATTATATGTAGGTAAGCATAATTTAATTACAGCTTAATTTTATATAGTCTTTTGTATTAAATATTCTAAGTTTCATTTAGGTTATTTTAATGCATTGAATATACTACTACATTCGACTTCGTCCTCGTAAACTTTAGATTTGCGCAACATTTTAATTTTTTTCGTGAGAACTTTCTACAAATTAGTAAACTAAAAAAAAGATGGATAAAATTGCTTAACTCGTTATCAAGTTATGACGTAACCAAGAGAAATAGGGATTCTTTTTTTATATTAAAAGATGATATTGCCACCATAAGCCGGCGCCTCATTATCACTCTCATAGTAGTGTACTCTAAATAACTAACTATACCATGTTAACCAAGGACCGAAGTGGTTTTAACACCCTTTTATTTTAATTATGAACGCGGCAGCTTTTTTCCTGTTAAATTAGAAGTCCAAAAGACTCAGCTTGCTTGGTCTTGATAAGAAAAAGCTCTTTAGTTACCACCTTCATTATTGGATAAGATGAATTGCATTTTGTGGATTGTTAAAAGGAATACATCATCATCATCATCAGCCTATTAATGTCCCCACTGCTGGGGCACAGGCCTTCCCTCGAGAAACTCGATGAAGCATGTGGTTAGCGCGTTCGGCTGCGATCGTTGAAGTTAAGTAACTTTCGCAGTGGTCGGTCATTGGATGGGTGATCACAAATTTACTATCTCGAGCTCCTCCGTGCTTCAGAAGCACGTTAAGCCGTTGGTCCCGGCTGCATCTGCATTCGTTAGCACCCGCCAATCCGCACTGGGCCCGCGTGGTGGGTCATATCCCAATCTCCCTATTCCATCCATAGGGAAAAGGAATACATATGTGTATAATTATAATACACTGGCGATGTGCGATCGTCGATGTTAAACTTTTGCAATGCCTAGTATTTCTTTATACGGGGCGCAACAAATTATACCACCCACAGAGACTTACATCCCCTGATGTTAAGTGTAAGTGGAGTCCTGTCGCGAAAAGGGATGATGCGGCAGAAAGTATACCGCTCCAGCCATCTTTACCTTGCGGCCTGAACCCAATCCCCTACCCATTGAAGCCCTGGAACCCTACTCATCAGCAGAAAAACAATACCACCAAAAGGTAGTGTTTTTTGCTATGGACTTCTGTAACGCCCTTTGTCTACCGCGGCCGTCACCAGGACGTCAATGAGAATGAGATTGTTTCTGTATAACGTGACGGGATTTCTGTGGACAAGTGGCTTAAGGAAGCAACCTCTGCTTTCCTGAATGGGCGCTCCAATTTGAGCGGAAAGTCCGTTGTATCCTACGTCTCTTTACTCTTAAGTTAAGTCGGTGGTACCGGTTGCATTAGCAGCCGTTATCAACTGCGTCTGAACTATGCAAAACTTGAAAAATCCACACTGAGTCTTAACTATTCAAATCTTGAAAAATTATTAAGTACTTTTCGTACAACTTATGTTTATTTTGCTATGAATTTTAAACCGTGAAAAAATAATTTCGTCAAGACGAATGTATGATACATGTAAATTGGATAATCACTCTAAGTTTCAGGTAAGATGCCGTATAACCTTTCTACGGTGAAATTCAGGCTTCACGTACCTAATGGAAAATTAATTTTATGGAAATATAGTTTTCATCTGAAGTTGTATACAACATCTAAAATTAGTTTTTTAATATTCTCTACTTGGTATATATGCTCTGACTCGCCGGAGACGTCACGCGTAGTTGCAGCCGCCAGCAGGCATATCTATGTGTATCCAAAAGAGAAGAGTAGCAAATTCTGCAAGTATTCTTTAAATTAACTACGTAGGCAGTGTATCCTTTTTTGAATACCATTGGGATTGAACCGCGCTGGCGTTTTTTAATTTATTTATAGTATTTCGTATTTAGAGCTACGTACATTATTTTTTGACCATGACAATCACATAACAGAGGAGAATTGATAAATTAATAAGTTTTCACATTACAATTTTAATAAACACTAACTTATGCATGCAACTTCGTCCGCGTTCTACTTAAAAGTTTTGAAGTCAATTTGCATTCGAATAATTTATTAGATTTTGATTGGCTTACCATTTTGAGAGATTTCCTTTTAAGTTTCCTAATTCATTGAAAAAGGTCGATACACTTTTCCACAAGAAAGGGGTGGGCGGGTGGATAAAGGTACGACAAGTTCATTATTATTGAAAACTGTTTTGAGAAAGGTGTTTGTTTTGCACCAACTTTAAAATTATTTTTCTATTCACTGTTTTTTTTTTATATTTACATAGAAATATTAAAATTGATAAAGTTTAAAACTACTTAATATCTTAAAACTTCAAATCAGAAATAATTAAGTACTTAAGTTATACACAATTTACAAAAAAAAGGTAAATGTAAATAAATCAATAAACCGGACTGCTCAGTTATTACTTCAAATAAAAACTGAAAAGAAAAAAAAAACAAATCCAGTAGTCAAATAATTCTGTTAGGGTCAAAGCTACTTTAACATTCGGGACCCATTAGATATTCAAGAATGTTTTTTTTAATAATGGGTCCCAACTGTTAAAGTTGCTTTGACCCTAACTTAACAGAATTATATTATTAGACTACTATACTTTTTTTTCTTTTCAGTTTTTATTTGAAGTAATAATTAAGCAGTCGGGTTTTTTAATTTTTTTTATTTACCTTTTTTAGTTCAAACTTTTTAGTTAGGATTATAAGACGGTATTTACCGCAGTCCTGTCACTTTAGGAAAGGAGTTAATATCGCAGGGATTAATACGGCCTTACGGTGGTATAAACGATTGATTTATCAAGGATTTGTCAAGGCTACAGTAGGGCCTCAATTTTCTTAAACAGGTGTGAAGTTAAATCAAGTCGTTACCTATATATACAGAGTGGTCCAATTAGTGACGTTAACAATTTTTTTTAGATTCCTCGC